GGGAGAGGGAATCTATGGATTGAACTCCAAGGCCTCACACCTAGGGAAGTGCTCTACCGTTTAAGCCAAAGTCCATTTGTTTTTATTTTTTTGAGATAAGGTCTTGCTAACTTTGCCAGGATGGCCTCAAGAGTATAACACTGGGGTTTGAACTCAGGAGCTTCACAGTTGTTAGGCAGGTGCTCTACTACTTGAGCCACACCTCCAGCCCTGGCCTTGAACTTTCAATCCTTTTGCCTCCCTCCCAAGTAACTGGGATTATAGGCATGTACCACCATACCTAGCTGTGTCCAGGTATTTCTGATGCATGCTCAAGTTTGAGAACTGTTATGGTTTCAAAGTTCCCCAAAGTTCATGTGCTGAAACTTAATCCCCAATACAACAGTTTTGAGAGACAGAATGTGGTAATTAGGCCATTATTTTGGCCTCATGGATGGATTGATGTCATTATTGATAAAAGGATGAGTTTTGCCCCATCCCTCTGTCTCTCTTTTCCACAATACTGCCTTCCACCATGTTATGATGCTGCAAGAAGGCACTCACCAGATGCCAGTACCTGTCTTGAACTTCCCAGTCTCTAGAACTAGGATGATATAAATTTCTGTTCTAGTCTCTGGTATTCTCTTATAGAAACACAAAACAGTCTAAGAACTGATCTAGACAAAACTAATCTAAGTTTAACTACTGATTCAAGTATTGGTTTTTAGACATTCCAGTCACTGACTTCCAGTTCTCATTCTCCACCTTTTTGGGTAGTTGAACCTTTCTTACTACCTCTACATTTATTCCAAGTAATAATAGTTAGAACTGCTATTTGTAGAAGGTAGGCAGTATCTTAATTAAACACACTACCTTACTTAGTCTCTGCAATAAAGAGCTGAGGGTAAGAGATGTTAAGTACCTTGCCCAAAGCCACCCAGTGGAAAAATGGAATAACCGGGATTTGACCTCAGGTCTTCCTAACTCCAAAGTTCCCAAAGTTAACTACTAGAAGGTAGCTCCTCCCATAGCCTCAGCTATCATTTAATTACACTGTTTCTGATCCTCTCCTGAACTCAAGAATTTCCTATTACCTAGTGGATCTCTCCCTTTAAACTCTCCACGGCATGTTAAAATTAACACATTTCTTCTCTCCAGTGTAAACCTGTTTTCTAATTTAATGCCATCACAATCACCCAGTTACTCACAGTAGACATGTCATCTTTGACTTCTCATGCTTCCTCACCTCTAGCTGTCCACAAAATTTAAAGATTTTAACATCTAAAACAGCTTTATAATCTATCCATTCCCACTGTCCTCTGAACTACAAACTTCTCTCACCTACATTCTAACTGGTCTCCCTACCTCTTCATTCAAATGCAATCTGTGCCAAATAACTTCCTGATCCTGTTATTGTACTTTCCATTGCCAACTAAATGTGGGAGAGGAAGTTAAGACTTTTTAGAATGGAGTAGAACATTCCCTCATACTTTGACTACAAAAATCTTTCCTATCTCATCACTACTGCCACATGTGAAACCTGCAAGAAACAAGTCTAAAGGAGGGAATGAAGTTCGAGATACAGTCTATACTATGTGGAATTATCACATGAAATCCCCTTATTTATTAATGTATGATAATTCAAAAATAAAATAATTCAAAAAAGAAGTCAAGATGTTTCCAAAAAGGCCATTCAGGTTTAGTCTTCAGCAACAATGCTTGTACTGTCCCTTCTGCCTGGAATGCTCTCTTTCCCTTTACATTGGACAAAATTCTACTTAACCTTCAGGACTAAGTTCTATCGTCTTCTCTTTAAGCTTTCCCTGGCTATCAAATTTTTTCCCCAACATGATCTATTCCCCCAGCACTGTATTCATTCTGGAAGTGGTAACTTATCATAGCATGTAATACCTAGTGGTTTATCTCCTCTGGCAAACACCTGTATGTCAGGGGTATACTGCCTATTATTCGTGTGTCTTCCCAGCACCCAACAAAATGACTGGCCATGGCCAGCACCCCTACGTGTGCTGAGCTGTCAAATAATGCAACAGTTGCTGCGTCACATTACTCAACATGGTCAGCAATCCAACTGCAGATTTACAAACCTCTCAAAAGGATTTTCATCTAACAGGAAGATGTTATCAATAAAGACCAAGGGTTCAATACTCAGCACCAGTGTCTCTAATTATGGTTAAATCTTTTTGTCGATATTTTTTAGCATCTTTCTTCAGATAGACTCCTTCCCAACTAGCATTATTTTTATTTTTTTATAGGAGCAACAATAACTGCAATCCTCACAGATAATCCCAAGAAAATCTATGTCACTGATATGGCTGGAACTTTGGGTACATCATTTCAATAGATTCTTAATAGAATGGCCTAGGCACATTAGGGATTTTAGAGACTGAGTCATGTGCTGATGACTACCTAAGGTATACACAATTTCTGAGACATTTACTCCAATCAGTAATTAAAATCAAAAGTATCAACAACTTGATGCTAGCTCAACCAGAATAGCCTTTTAAGTAAGAATAATACTTCTTCTGTATGACTCTGATTAGCACCCCCATCCCATCCTGGAAGCAGGTTCTAGCTTATTATCAGTGGGATGTTGCTAAGCTTGCTTTAGTCTTTAACACTTTCCCTTCCCACCCTGTTAAACCTTCTCTGTCCAATATTTCCCTATCAGGGACCTTCTTCTGCTCCAGTCATGCAAGTCTCTTCCATAAATTAACCAGTGACCAAATTCTCAGCATATGATTTCTTTTCTCTTTTCTATTTCAAAATTTGCACTCTTTCAAAGACCAGAGAGTTAACAATATTGAAATCCTTTATACTTGTGTGTGAAGATGGTATAATGAAATGCACTGAAAGCTGTTAAGATAATAAGGGGGCAGGGCAATAAAGAGTAAGCAATGGAAGAGGCTAATCTGATTAAAGGGCAATATATGTATGTTTGAAATACCAAGGTGAGCCCCTCCATTTTAAACGATCAATATATACTTTTTAAAATGAAGGACAGACTGGGCACTGGTGGCTCATGACTAATTCTAGCTACTCGGGAGGCAGAGATCAGGAGGATCATGGTTAGAAGCCAACCCAGACAAATAGTTCTTTAGATCCTATATCGAAATACCCAACACAAAAAAAGGGCTGGCAAAATGGCTTAAGTGGTAGAGCGCCTACCTAGCAAGCATGAGGCCCTGAGTTTGAGCCCCTAAAACAGGTCTTATTCTAGAGTGAGTGCCAGTGGCAGGGGTGAGGGTGAAAGGAGAGGGTGAAGAAGGGCTGTACTTTGTATATGTGTATGAAAATAGAGCAATGAAACCTGTTGTTCTAGGAAGGGAGGGGAAAATGACAGAGGAGAAGAATCTAATTAAGATACATTGTAAGCACATATGTAAATGTCGTAATGATATCCCTTGTACAACTAATATATGCTAATAAAAAAAAAAGACCAGCTCCAATCTTCTATTTTCTGGAGTTCCCTATCTTTTCTAAATTTCCACTGTACTTACTGTCCTCACTGCTTACATACTACTTCGTTTGGTTTCATAATTCTTTTATATATACATGCTTTCTTTTCTGGACTAGACTGTTCACTATAGGAAAAAAGGCAGGTCTTCTATATCATTTGTAACCCCACGATTTCCTCCCACATCTAGCACAACACTGAAGAAAGGGGCACGTGAAGGAATGAGCTAAATGCTTTCTATGCACAAAAGCACATAACACATAACAAATAGCTACTGTGTGCCTGCTCTAGGATAAGAACTTTCTTAGGTGCTAAAACAAAACAGAGGCAATTCCTATCCTAAAAGCTACTACAGTCCAGAGAGAATGAGTCTTTGAATTTTGAGTGCTCAAAACGTTACAGAGCAAGATTTACTGGTTCCAAGATTTAAGAACCTCAGGTGACATTACAGATCGTCAGTTATGAAAATGAATCGCAGAATTTCAGAGCGAAATAAAGGCTTTGAAATTATTTCCCTCAATTTTCTTGATTAATTTGTGATTAAATTTCAATACAGTCTACCTTTTTACCACTTCTAGGCAGTATCTTTAATCAACAGAAAGCCAGAGTGGGGTTAAAAAAAAAAAAAAAAACCTGACGTCTTCCCTCACTTAATACTACTTTCTCCCAAGGATGGAAACTGCGATCACCACACATCTGCCCATACCGGAGTCCAGCACACAGGGGCCAATTCGCTGCACTTTTATACTCTGGCTTCTCCCATTCAGCCCACGTGTTGAACAGAATCTGTATTTTCTGCCGGGTAAAGTAGGGGTAAGCCTGTACTGCTTTTAGTAAAAAATAAATATCAGTGCTTCCATACTTCCTTGGCCCTCGTAATAACAACAGCACAACACGGTTCTGGAAAATAAACCAGCAGATTTGAGTACAGGAGGATGGGTACCAGTCTCTTGGCCTCAAAACCTGCAGCAGCACCGGATGAAATGCCAAGGGAGCACATGGACACACACGTGAGGTTGGAAAATCTAAGCAACAGGTTGGCCGCCCTTCTACCCTGACAGGTGGCCTTCCTTAGGTCGTGGGTGTGTCAGACGCGCACGCAGGCACTGATTCACAATTCTCCCCAAAACAACCCGCTCCGACTGCGAGACCCGTCAGGGCCGGCCTCAGCAATCCCACATTTTCCGAACCCCAACCCCGTTTCTGTCTTCTGTCCGTCTCCGTAACCACGTCTCAAGCAGGATGTGAGGCTGCTGAAGAACCTGGGCTTCTCCTGATTCGAACTCCTCAGTTTGGGGGCCTGGTAGAGTTACCCCAAACCTCAGACACCTACTCCGCCACTTCACCTTTCAGGACTACGAGCACCGCGCCCCGGAACTGACCCTCGTCAGCCCCCGTCCCCGCTCCTACCCCGCCCCCGGAAAAAGCGGCAGAGGGGCGTGGAGCGGCGCGCGCGGGTCCGGTGGGGGCGCGCATCCCCGCGTCCCGGGCCCGCGCAGCAGGTGCGGCCAGGCCCCACCTCCCGTGCGAGGCCCCGGCGACTCACCCCAACAATGTTCCTCTGCGACCTAGCCGCCGGCACGGACACCTCTTCCGCTGGCCGCGCTCCCCTCTCGTAGCCACCACCCCTTCGGCCGCTGCCGTCACCGCCGTACTCGTCGCCGCTGTCGCCGCCGCGGCGCGCGTCCGCCTTCACGCACACCGCCGTGGCCGCGCACGCGCCCTGCGCGCTGGCGTCACTTAGCAACCGGTCGACCGCGGGCGTGCGGGCTCCGGGGCTTAAGGCCCGTAAGTCGCTTGGGGTGGGGTCTACGGCTTTTTCCCAACGGCCGGGACCCGCTGCCCTTTCTGAGCAGGGTCCCCAGGGTGTGGCTGCCCGGCGGGCACCTGGCTCCGGGTAAGTCACGTCATCACACGTCTCTGTATAACGTCACCGGTGCGCGTCACTGCGCATGACAGGATCCGGGGTGCCTGTGGAGAAAGCACTGGATCCGACTAGCGCTGGATCCGACTAGCGCTGGCCAGTTATGCGAGGTGCAGGAGGGTCTTCCAAGTAGGACCCGAAGGAGTTGAGTGACACTTGTGAATTTAGCAGTAGGGTGTGATGGGTTGGTTCTCGGTTTCCTCATTCTGCAAATGCCTCATTCTGCAAATGAGAAGAATGTCATATCCGTCCTGTCTACAATGGAGAGTTTTGACGCTAAAATGAAATAATGTGTGCGAGGCTGCTGGGGAACCTGAGCTTCTGATTTTAACTTCTCTATGAAAGCCTATTAGAGCACCCCAAAGCTCCCATACACATCTCCCCTCCCAAGTGTGCATATAAAGCCCATTGGACTTTCAAGTATCTTTGTCATAAGTCAGTAGAGCAAGAGACACGGGAAGTATGGACTTTAAAATCATAGAAATATGGGTGCAAGAGTGAACCTGGGCATTGTATGCACATATGAATAATAAAAAAGTAAATTTTAAAAAAAGAGTGAACCTGGTTGATATGGGAAAGTCACTTCCCCTTGTTCAGCTGGGGGACCCTAGTACAAGGGTTGGGGGAGATTTAATTCCAGGCAAAGGAAGCTTCATGAGTAAAAACAGGAAGTAAAAATGAACAGAAAGAACCACACTTGGGCCAGGGAGACCCATTTTGAGGCCATTGCAGGACTCCACACAAGAAGCAGTAAGAACCCTACCCAAGGCAGTAGCAGTGTGGAGAAGGACAGCACTGTTAAGATGGCAGAACTGACAGCACTAAGTGCAGGATAAATGAGTAGGCCAGGTTTCTAGTAAGGGTGCTTGAATAAGTGGTGGTAACATTTAGCAAGATGTGAAGAAAGATGAGCCTGGGTTATCCACAAGTACCTAAGTTACTGCAGTGGCAATGACAGTCCTTAAAAAGACCAGATGAGTTCAAAATGTATATGTTGCTTGGGGAAGCACTCTCCACTACCAATGTGTCCTTCTGTATGGAATGACATCCTTTAGTATAATGCTGACTTCTTGCTGCACCTGTCCCCAATTTACTTCTCCATGAATGATTGACTTCCTGATTGATTAAGTTCTCTTAGTAAACATCCTTCAGGAAACTGTTACGGTGTATTCTACTGCTTCTCAAGGACCAGAAGTTGGAGGTGAGGGTATTTAGTTCAGTGCTACAAAGTAAATAAACATACTGAATTCTAGAGTTTAACATTAGGAAACTCTCTGTCCACAAGTAATACCCAATACCATCCTTGTGTTCTACAGAATGTCACCACAATGACATCCATACTGTGTTAATTATTTTTCTCATTGCTATGACAAAATATCTGACAGAAACAACTTGAGAGAGGAAAGACTTATTTTGCTCCTGATCTCACAGGATTCAGTCCATGGCCACTTGGCCCCATGCCTTTTGGCAGATTGTGGTGGCAGGAGCATGTGGAGAAGAAAGCTGTTCACCTCGTGGCAAAAAGGAAGTAGGGTGCAGAGAATACAAGAAGGGACCAGGGCAAGATACAGCCCCAAGAACATCCCCTCAGTAACGTATTTCCTCCAAGCCTCTCCCACTCTCGTCACCTCTCAATAATACCACTATACTATGAACCTATGAAGGGATTAAGCCACTGATAAGGTCAGAACCGTCAAGATACAGTCAGTTCCCAAAAGCCCATAAGCTGGCAACCATACCCCCAGTATAAGAGCCCGTGGGGGACATTTCGTATTGAAACCATAAGAATACTCTCTAATTTCTGGAGCCTGTTACGTTACATGGCAAAAGAGATTTTGCAGGTGAAAGTTAAGGAGCTGGGGAAATCATTCTGGATTATCTGGTTAGGCTAGAGACAAGAGGGTCATGGTCAGAGGGGGAAATATGAGGGAAGCAGAGGTCACAGACGTGAAGAAGCTACACTGTTGGCCTTGAAAAGGAAGCAAAGGAATGTAGGCGGCCAGTAGAAACTGGAAAAGGCAAGAAAATTGATTGTTATCAGAAGGAATACAGCCCTACTGATACCTTGAGTTTAGGGCTTCTAACCTTTAGAACTGTAAGATGATAAATGTATATCATCTTAAATCACTCAGTTTGTCACGGCAGCAATAAGAAAAACATACAGTTAATAATAAAGATGATGGTTAGTTTCCCAATGTATTCTCCTTTATCTAGAGAAGAAGGGCACTATGTCTTGTTGGTGGGAACCTCCACATTCAGAGAGAAATGTTAGTCAAATTACACAGGTCTATGAACGTTGAGAGAAGTTGGGTTAAAAAGAAGTTGGAGGAGGGCTAGAGGTATGGCTCAAATGGTAGAGCACTTGCCTACCAATCACAAAGCCCTGAGTTCAAACCCCATTACTGCAAAAAAAATAATAAGTAGGAGGACATTAACCTATAATTTTTCGTTTACACTCTAGACATGAATGAGATCAATCAGGGAAAAAAATACAACCCCCAAACGTTATATTAGATTCATTTGCTTGTAACAGCACACTTCAAATCTAGCCAAGGTCATTTCATCCAACACTTGAGAGTTAATATATGATATCCCAACTTCTGTCCAGGTACTATGGCTAACATATTTATTCAAGAAACTCAGTGTATAGAAAGAGAAACATGTAGGTATGCAGCAAGTTGCCACAGTTCTTTAACAAAAAAGTTATAAATGTACTATAACCATGATAGGATATAACCATGCTGCAATAGAAGGTATATGAAATGAAATGAGGGAAGTATCAAGTGACTCAGATGAGGAAGCAATTAGTTCTACTTAATGGAAGTTAAGGTATTATACTTTCCTATGTGGGAGAGCTGTGCTAAGCCAGTGATGTCATTTAACATTTCTTCCAAGTGGTTTTGTTGTGATCTGAGTGAATGTTTATGTACCACTGTTTCTAAACTAAAATAATTGAATTGAAAAAAATGACCAAAATAAAAGTTGAACACAAGAGTAGTTTATTTTTCTGTCACATCCAAGGGAAAACATATTATTATAAATGCCATGTTTTGGTACATTTGCTTGCCTAGCTAATCTTCATATATTATCTCATTTAATTTTACAAACATTAGCTTATTGTACTAGCCACTGATATTATATCTCAGTTTTAGCAGCAAAGATGCAGAGTTTCAATAATTTGATCAAGGTCAAAACAGTTAAGTAGTAGACCAAGATTTAGACTCAGCACAGGCATCTTCTGTTCAGGAAGCCATCCCTCAAGTCCTTAGTTGGTTAAAGTGCCCTTCTTCTGAACTGTTAGCATAATGTGCACACATGACAGCATTTGCTATATTAGCAGTGATCCTTCCCTGGGTATGGTTCCTGAACCTATGTTGGCTATGTTTAAGTGTCATTGGTATTAGCTCATTAAAGTCTCATAATAGCCCTTTGAAGTAGGTAATGTTATTAATCCCAATATTTATAAATCAGGAAACTAAGTCATGGAAAATTAATTATTCAAGGTCACAGAATTAATAGATAAAGGAGCCAGGTTTCAAATCTAAGTACTGGATGCTAGAATGCAGTTTTTCCCTTTTCACTGTGATTGCCAAGAAGCTCTGAGTAAATTTGTTGGTTTGGCAGTGGTAATTGTGTGGATTTGCCTGCATGTTTGCATTCTCTTGTTTTAGCTTTCGTTACTATGACAAAATATCTGAACTAATCACCTTATAAAGAGAAAAGCGTTATTCTGGCTTACAGTTTTTGTAGGTTTCAGTTCAGGATCAATTGGTCCCATCGTTTGGAGCCTTTGGCAAGGTAGCACGTCATAACAGAAGTGTATTGGAGTAAAACTGCTTACCATGTGTCCAAGAAGCAAAAGAGAACAAAGAAGGGACCAAGGTCTTAAAAACCAGGAACTTAAGGAACCCACACTAGATCTTATTTCTTAAAGATTCTGCCACCTCCCAAAAATACCCCCTGGAGACCAAGCCTTTTACACATGAGCCTTTGGAGGATATTCAAGATCCTAACTATAGCAGTCAGTTAGAAATTTTTCAACATGAATAGTTGGAAAAATTATCTAAATTTTCTTTGTTCTCTAAATTGTTAACAATATATTTTTTAATGAGAAACAACAAATCTTTTTTTTTTTTGAAAAAAGAATGTTTGCAACTTTGAATGACTTCTCACATTTTGATTCTGAATAAGAACTAGTTTCAGGTTAAGTTGCACGAGTTAAATGTAGAATCTCCGTTCTTACAAAACCAGTACTACTGCATGACCTTGAAAGTCCAGCTTAATAGACTTGTTACCCAGACAGATCAGAAAGTATTTTAAGTAGCATGAAATAGGTAAGGTGTGGCCCTTCTTGTTTTTTACTTATGTCTAAACAATTTGAAACCACTTGTGGGTTATTTGGACACATGTTCCCTTGCTTTAGAGATAAGAAAGTCCATTATCCTCCTTTATTCTGCTGAAATTTTATACAATGCATTTTAATGTATAGTTGATCTTGTTGCTTACTGTCTGTCAGAAAAAAAATGGATTAAAGTCACCAGTTCCAAAACTAACATTTTGATATCAGTACATGTCTAATTGGCTTAGATCCAGTAACTAAATACCAGATTAATTTCTTTTCTTAAGAGTATGTTATACAAGTAATTCTTCCAGCCAGATTCACTTTGCTAAAAGACATACATTTCATTATTCAGGTTTTTTATAGTCAACAATGAGCAGTTATAATTTCTTTCTTCTTTGAAAAATTTCCAATCTAAATCTTCATTGTGCTCCAGTGGGGCATTCCAGGGCCTGAGCACCAGGCAGGTGGATGAGGGCTCTGTACTCAGCCTGGCAGATCATCAGCATGTGCTAGGAAAGAAGCATTGAAGGTTGACAGATTTTAAAGCTATTGATCTCAAAATATTAGTAACTAATGTATATTTTAAAAAAACATAACATGCGTTTGCAGACCTTCTTCCTGCAGACCTTC